AAAACAGTTTTGACGTTAACAAATGTAAATGTACAAAGTTATCTTATTAAAGGCACTTTTTGTGCAAAATCATTTCCGCTTATGCGTAATTTAGAAACGGAACAGACAGAATAATACAAGTCATATCGAAATCCTATTATATATTCGGCTAATTCTTTTTGCATTCACAAAGCGAGTTCTTTTATTTCCATCCAAAATTGTGTTAGTTTATTTCAGATAAATTAAAAAGAAACACTTGTCAAAAATCTCCATTTTCATTTTGACATTACCTTGTAAAAGGTAATGTGCACAGAAATTCGTCAGCTGAATATCTAATTAAAGTACTTTTTAAAGAGGTAAGCTATTAGAGAAAGTTTTTTCCATTAATCTTAGGAATAATAATACGAGAATTCTGTTGTGGACGTTCTTCTTGCTCGAAAAGTGTTTTGGTGTTTGGAGGAATTTCATAAGCACTAATATCCAAAGACTCATTTTTTCGGTAAATGCTTTTAATAGCTATCTTCCTTTAAAGGTTTGAATAAGAACACGAACGGAATTTACTTTTATGAAATAAAGCTTGAAAACACAGAAAATTGTCGGAACTTTGCCAGAATTTAAAGGACTGTAACTGCAATTAAATAAGGGCAATATGTTTAAAATATTTTACCGAGGAAATTTCCTTTTATAACGAAAGTGAGGAGGTTACCCATCAAACTGCAGAAAAGATTTAAACTTATTGTTCTCATTTGTAGTTATTTTCGACGTCTCTAGAACTTGGGGATTATTAAAAAAAATTATTTTTCTTAGCAAACGATTAGTACTTTTTACATGTCTTCTAAGTAAAAAAAATGCCTAAAGTCGTTCATTATTATTTCTAAGTCTTCGTAAATGCATTCATGCCGGTGTGGAGAAATGATCAATCTTTCACAAACTTCGGCATTTTGCATGCAGCCCTCGCTATACTGCATTTGAAAACAAAATTACATTTTATATCTCGTGCACGTGTAAAACCCTTTGTAGTTTTCAATAATATTCACAAAGTAGCAACTACTTAAACAAAGTTGGTAGACACATAAATAGACTAAATGGCGGACGTCAATCAAGCATTTCGAGTCGTTTAAAAGGCGCCGGCAGGCCTCCGAACAAACATGGCCTCAAATAAATGAAGTTATAAAATGGCCTCCAATCTAAACGCCTACAGTAAAGGTCCCCTAGATATGAAACACGTGCATGGTTGTTTTAAACCTGCTAGTTGTTCGAATAATCTGACAAAACAAATGTAGTTCTAGTATAGGTCAACTGCTTTATGCACGGGTACTATATGACGATTATTTTTTAATTTCCCAAGCATACAGTTGGTGCGGGCGTTACTTCCTAAGAATCTTGATCTTTTTAAAAGGGAAAGTTGTCCTGATCGTTGTTTTCTTTTCAATTTTAGGGTAAGCACAACGATAAATCACACTGGTGTTCGGGTAGAATAACTAAAAACGTAACTTCCAAGTATTTATAATGTTAGGGGGCGGTCAGTATTTTTTTGGGTACGAGAATTGACCTGAGTCGTGCCGGCAAAACTTTAACAGGAAAGGCTAATAGAACTTCTTAATAGAGATCTTGGTATGCAGACTGGCTTACCTCTGTGCACCACCACATCAGATATAAAATGGGCAAACTTTCATAATCTTCGCCGAATAAATGCTTTTTATCTTTTTCTTCCAATAGACTCAAGTCACCTTTCTCGAGTTTGGTTTGTTTCCTCTTGGAGGCTATGAAATATTCATAATCCTTTTGGGCATCATAGCTATGGTGTTCATCAGTAAGCGCCTCTTTGGCCTTCAACCAGGGTAATGCTAACGGACAGGAAAAGCATCAGTTGCACTCAAGGACAAATGATCTTACGCGGGTCTATGCGAGAATCGCTGTAGGTGCCGAGATCTGGCGCTAATGCTGTACCCCACATACCTCGAGGAAAACCGCGCAGGAATCGCAGTCCAGCCTCGTTTCTTTCAAAAATCCCAGCTAGTTTTTCGTTCTTTTGGGTGGACAGCGGTAGCAGCACCAGCAGAAGAAAAATGGCCGGCTTTTGGCGGCTAGTCATCCTCGTGGAAGTCAAAACACACACTGACAGGCAAAAAGTACTTATCGATAATGGTCACCGGCTCAAAATTCAAACAGATCGATGCGGTCCGAATAGCCAATCAGATTGCGCGAACAGCCACACGCGCGCGCCGTGTGTTTGACATGTAGCGCCCGGAGAGGAAGAAGGCGGTTGATTTAATTCGAAGTTGGGGAACTGGGACGAGACACCGACAGGTTGAATGGTGGTCGAACGGCAGAGCTCAGATGTATAATTCAGAAGCACAGGTCGAGCTGGTTGATATGGGATCTGACAATGAGGTCCAGGATTAGGATTCTGGGGGAAGGTCCTGTTCTAAAATGGAGACGTAGAGGTAGCTGCCTCGTTTAGTGTTGGCGTACGATCAATCCTGACGGAGTCTACTGGTCTCCAGTCAGGCCGTGACATGACAGAAAAGGTATATAGGTCGAAGAACAATTTATTTATAAACTGTTGATAGCCGACTGGGTGAAATGTTAACTGGGTACAGGGTAAAGAAACCGGTATTTGGTAGGCAGCGACAAAAAAACTTATCCAAAAATATCGGAATGCAAAACTAGACTGGTACAAAAATCGAAAAACAGAATATCGGTATGAGATCAGAAAAGTTTAGTACAAATGGCACGGAACGAAAAAGATTGTCTTAAATCACACGGGAAAGTGCGAATAAACGACTTATCGCTTGACAACACGTGATGGCGTACGGACACGGAGAATTCTGAAAGCTGAAAAAAGGGAGAGCGTCAGTTAAAACAGCCAGGCGGCGGTGAAACGAGGAGGTGACTAGCCACCCCCAATCCCGCGACCCACACTTCTTCTCCATGCCAATGTAAAGGTCTGAAGATGATTGACCGTAAACGATTGTTTGTCAAAGGTACTTCAAAATTCACGAATTGTCGAGATGGAAATTTGAGGGTGTGGTATTGCGCAGGGTTGAGGTTTTTACAGTTTTCTGTTGTATTAATGTGAGGCGCACAAAGCAGTTTACTAAAGATAAATTCATTCTCAGAGCACACTTCCTTAAACACGGGAGAGAGAGAGCATGCTTTATTTTGAAGGTAATATCCAAAATTTTCAGCAAAAAATGGCTCCATTCACGGAGGATAAGCGATAAAGTAAGACAAAAGGTCATAGAATACTCAAAGTTTAAAGGATTACACGACATCCACATCTGTTATGTAGACAGGTCTTCGAACGTGAGGTGAGCGTGTTGGCAGCATGGATACTAACTACAAGGAGCAGATAGTCGAAAGACATTCTGCCCCCTCATGGACCAAACCGATTTGCATGA